GTGTGCCATCACCACAGTCCATTCTTCCCACCCCAGTTCTGATCTTATCCCCCTCCCATAAAATGTCTCTGGTTTATAGTTGTTCATTGTTTTCATTTTCACTCTACTACCTTTGTTTGTCTCTCTCTCTTTTTCTCCTGATCCCTTATGCTCCTGCTATGAGTGAAACCATCTGATATTTTTCTTTTTCTTTCTGGCTTATTTCACTAAGCATGATCCCTTCCAGCTCCATCCAATTTGCTGCAAAAGGCATGAGTTCATCTTTTTTGGTTGCTGACTAATATTCCATTATGTATTATACCACATCTTTTTTTTTTAATTAATAATAGTTTATTTTTACATCATTTTTCCATCTCAGTTGTAATCCCCGTGGGCTTTCCATCACCAAATCACTTGTGTGCCATCACCATAGTCCAGTGCACTTCGCCCCACCACCCATTTTTGAAACCATTCCCCACTCTACCCCCGTAAAATGTCTCCAGTATATAGTTGTTCATTATTATTATTTCCCTCCCCCCGTCCTTTATACTCCTGCTATAAGTGAAACCATTCATGTACCTCATCTTTTTATCCAGTCTTCTATTTTGGGGCATTTGCGTTGATTTTGATTCCACATCTTCCCTACTATAAACAGAGCAGCAATAAACATAAGGGTGCAGATGATCTTTTGAATTAATGTTTTTGTGCCCTTTGGGTAGATATCTAGGAGTAGGATTGCTGAATTATATGGAAGCTCTATTTTATATCTTAACCACTCTTCCCCTCTAAACAAGTCATAGGACCACTCTTATAAAATAATCTTGAAGCATTACGGTGGTCATTTTTTCTTAGTTCCCCTATAATATTGCTTGTTCTGGACTTAATTAGTCTAGAAAGATAAGAAGAATGGCAATCACTAAAATAAAAAAAAAAACAGTCTTATGTGTGATATGGTATCTAAAAGATCTATTTTTGGCTTGTGTCTTGAGTAATGTCACACATACTGAGAAATTTTGTTTACATATATATATATTTACTTCCATTTTCTTGTGACTGTAATTAGAAACTTAGCAGCATCATAGCATGCTGCTAGTGTTAAAGCTTAACTCCTTCTTGGGCTTAGGTAAGATTAGAAAGGAAGATACACCAATGAAAAACACACAACTGTAGAAAAGTTTATAAAGTGTCCCACAGATAAATACAGTTTTCTATCAGGAATCCAGACCCTCAATTCTAAACACAAACTCAATTTTCTCTTACTCCCCCTCTACCTATCCCACATGGCCTAATACAGAAGTCAGTCATTGGCTCTATAACTGCGCTTTACACTTTATTAGCTTATACAAGTCTCTTAACAATGAGCTGCTTATGTCCTCACTCTGTTTCTGTGATTTCAGATGAATTCATCATTGAAGAATATAGTATCCCCTGCAGTGCTGGTAAAGTATAAACAATAAAATGTTATGCCAACACAATGAAAATAAATTACTACCTGTGGTCTGCATGAGACTGCTTATTGAAGATAGTTTTACTATATATTATAAAATCCCTGGAATATCATTATGAGTAGAATAACTTCAAATGTATTACAGAATTTCTCTGCAGGAAAAAATGCAAGTGTAATATGGCATGACTGGTTTGAAGGATGAATCCAGGAATTTGTCCCAATTCTTTATCACCCACATCTTTTCTAAAATATTTTTAAACTTAGTTAAGGAGAGGAAACTTTCACTGTAATCAATCATATAGCACAGCATGAAAGAGATGATCAAAACCTTCCTTTAGGCTGGTTGACAGGGTTCATCTTTAACAATCTAATATTTGTTATAAGACCTTTGTATACTTCAAAATATAAAGAAATATTAGAATAATTATTAAAAACAGTTGAAATGTATTACATTCAAAAATTTATAATTGGAATATATAAGTAGTTTCTTCAGTTGATCACACAATTTCTTTAATATATCTACCTTTTCCACTACTGTTTAGAACCTGAACAGATCTTTGAAAATTAAAACTCAGGTATGGACGTCATCAGATGAACTTCCCCAAGATGAATAACAAAGACTTATCAGAAGAAAAGATAATGGGAGAAGAAGGGATGGTAGCTGGAAATAGAACTTGTATGTTGAAAGAAATTGTGACATGACACATACACTAAAAAATCTTTTTTCTGTATTTATCAAAGCTAGAGTTCACTTCTGAATTATGTATCTTCTCTATAATGTTTTTAAAAACTGAAAAGCTATATATACAAAGATGTGCACTCAACAACAGTATAGATAAATAAAAATGAAATTTAAGAAAATGAAGTAATCTTCAGGGAGGTAGGAGAAGGAAAACAATGTTTTCAAACATTAGAAACAATCAAAATGTCCATCAATAGGTGAATGGGTTCACTAGCTATGGTATATCCATGCCAGGGATAACTACTGAGCAATAAAATGGAACAGGCTGCTGATATATACAACTTGGATGGGTCTCAAAAACATTATGCTTAGTGGAAAACAGGTTCATTTCACAAAGGTCAAATAATGATTGATTCCTTTTATGTAACAGTCTTGAAATGACAAATTATACAGATAGGCCTTAAATTAATGGCCTTCAGCAGGTAAGCACAATGGCAGGACAAGGGAGGATGAATATATCTATAAAGAGAAAGCCTGAAAGAGATCTTGCATTGATGAAATCACGCACGTAAAGAAGAAAATGTTCTGGTTCAAATCTTTACATTTAATTCCATCTCAGATTATTTTGCTATTGTGTAGTAAGTATATATCAAAATTGAATTATTTTTTCATTAGCTTTCTAGTGTAACCATTATTGTTTATTGATCTTCTGTCTTTCTGCTAACAAAGAGTGCCTCCTTTATCACAAATTAAATTGTCACATATTCTAAGGCTATTTATTAATAACTTGTTCTATTCTCTTGCTCAGTTTATTCTTTCAAAATTACTAAAATATTAAAATTACTGTGGCTGAATAAAAATGTTTTAACAATTATGGCTGGCCCCTCCTCATTTCTCTATTTTGATCTTTTCCTTGCATACTAAACTCATTATTCCAAGTAAAACTTAGAAATAATTTTAGCAAGCTAATTATCCCCATAATCGTACTGCATACCATTTGTTATTGCGTTTAAATGAATTTACAATAATTACAAATTCAATATGTAACATGATTTAAACTTCCCTAGTCAGATACAGTTGATCTCCACTTATTGAATTCACGTGGAGTGAGTTCTTTTTCTGATCAGAAATGCATCTGGACTAAACTACAAAGTTAAAATTAAAAATTAACTTACTGGGCAAATAATACTATTGAAAGACACATGTATTAAACAATGTATAAAGAGAGACAAAATATGTGGGCAGAAATAAAATTATAAGATGAAGACTAGAACAATTATTTGTCATCTGGTGATAAAAGTCACTGAACGATAAAAATAAGAAAACATTTCTGCTTTGCATTATGGAGAGCAAAGATTCAGCTCTGCCCAATACCGGGAGAAAGAAAGTGATGCTTCTGATCTACAGATACACAGCACTTTGTGCAGACCCAGGCTCTCTTTGTTCTGCTTAACTAAGTAATTTAGCACACATTCCTACACACATACAACTCCACACAATAGAAAAGTACTTTCCTCTCATTTGTAGATTCAGATCTCTGTAAAAACATGTGTCTTAATTACTTCTGCAGGCGGTTCACCCAACATAGTCTGGGAATGTTGTAGACGTCAGTAAGAAAGTGCCTGAGTGAGCATATTTCCAAGGCAGACAGTGAGAGGAGATATGGAGCCCACAAAAATGTCAGCACACTCCAGTAAAGAAAATATGCTGCTAAGATCATTTTAGCTCAAACGCACCTGCATTGCTTAATGTCTCACAAATACTTTATGGAAAGGATCTTTCTTCTTTACCATAATCAAATAAATGAGGAAGAAAATGAATTTTGGTTAAAAGCAAAGCTTTGGTTCTAAGCAAAGCTTTAGAACTTTCAGCTGACTTGTACAATTGATTCTGTCCTGGTATGCTCCCTCAGGTGTGGTTGATTATTACTAAGTACAAAGTAGGAGTTATCACTGGTCTTTTTTCCTTAATAAATTAAAAAATATAATGGAGTTACAGTTATTTCAAAGGCAATAGTACAAGAAATAGCTTTATATTTTTTATACAATCTCAGATTGTTTTCTTATAAAATTTAGGAATCAGAATTAGTGAAATATCATTAACAAAGGAAAAGTTCTATTTAGAGTCAAGTTATTGTTCAACAAAATTTTGCCTGAGAAAATTTGTGCCAACTTGTAATGTGTACCTAATCAGACAAAACAGAACTTATCAAGTCCAATAAATGAACCCAACTGACTCAAAGTCTATTAATATATAAACCACTCAAAAACTTTATTCATTAGTAGACTTAACCCTAAATTATTTCTCTATAGGCACTGAGTAACTGAATGTAAAGTTAAATTGTGCCTTTTATAAGGCAAAAAAAGTAACCCAATGATTAAAAATAAGAGAAACACCTTTGTTAAATTAGGTAAAGACTAGGATTCATGTATGGGTATTATTAACTGTTTTGACAGTTTCTTATTTTGAAAAATTAGTTGTCAAGGTTTAACTTTATGACAGAAAATATAACTCTTAGATTTTAAAAGAAAGTTTATATTAGGCAAATAAAATTAACATATCCAATAGTTTAAGTAATTAGTGAAATAATCAGCAAGATTTCAATGCCAGTTCAAAGTACAGCCAAAAGACTAGGATATTTATAAACAACAAGAAACTATTAAGATACAACAAAGTTAATATAAAATTTGCTACTGCCTGTTCTACTAAAAAAAATTATTCCCAAATGTACCTCAGAAAAATCAACATCACCAAGTCTGCAACCTTTAATCTATAGTCAACAATGAGATGAACTATGTGTATTCCCCTAGCTAATACTTAATTTGTATTGAAAGAATGTGTTGATCATTTTTGCCCTATTTTTCGTAATTTTTCTAAGTTTCCCCTGTCCAAAGACTGTTATTTTTTTTTTTAGATTGTATTTATTTTTGCATAGAAGTACTGGGGTGCAAGCCAGAGGGATGGGAGAGGGGAGTGAGAGGATTCACTCGAGATAGAGTAGGGAGCAGAACAGGAGGATGTGCTGAAATACACTGCTGAGGGCAGCAGCGGGGAAGACAGGAGAGGTCTGCTGCTCTATGTGAGTCAGCTCCCTGGCGGGGGCTGGAACTCAGCAGTGGTAATGCTCAGACTTAACTCCTAGGTTACCAGGGAGACCCCAAAGGTTATTCTTGGATTTTAAAAAGGGAGGCAGTAAATCTCACTGGGTTTGGGTTAACTGTACCCATAGGTGCAGAAGAGGGTTAATTATCCATGTAGGCTGCCTTTAGTTTGTCAGCAAATCTTAAACATTTACTAAAACTATGTAATTAACTTTAGTCTAGAAGCTTACATAGGAATTTTTGTTTAGACAATTAAAGAACACTGTGCCTTGGCCCTCCCCGGTGGCACAGCGGGTTAAAGCACTGCACTAAGAAGCTTAAGCCACTTCTGCATGAGTTCAATTACCGCCTGCCCTGGAGGTGACCACATGGTGTGGCAGACCTCTCCTGACCCGCCCTCTGCTCCCCTCAGCAGTGTACTTCATCTATCTGCCTGTTCTGCTCCCCACTCTGTCTCTGGTGAATCCTCTCACCCTCCACATCTCTGGCCTGTACCCCAGTTCTGTATGAATAAATAAATAAATCTTTTAAAAAAAAAAAAAACACTGTGCCTTATTATTTCACCTGTAATACTGATGATGGGCAAATTTCTTTCATCTAGATTTCCCCTGAAGTCCTAGAATCTTTGGCCTGCTAAGAAACAATCGATTTAGTCTGATGGGTCTGAAACCCATAGCAAATCAGTTTCTTGAAAAGACTTTGTAGGCATGGACTACACAAGCGCCCTTAGTGGCTTATCATATCTAATTAAATGAGAATTATTTTCAAATACTATTGTTCTTGGTATACTTTGGACACAATCAATCTAGCAAAAAAAATCTGTTGCTATGGGGATTCAGTAAAATTATTTGTTTCAAAATTCTAAGATATGCAGTGGGAATCATATAAAAGTGTTTTATGTATATCAAACAAAATGTACTGCTTTGGAAATTAGTTATAGTGCAAAATGAAAGAGAAAGGACTTTTACTCATATTTCTTTCAAAGACATTTAAAATGATATCTATCAATCCCAGTAAAGAGCTACGTCTCATTTTTTTTAATGCCTGTTCTATTTGATCTTGGGTCAAGCATTCCATTTTACTTCACAATCATACTTCATGCTTCAGTTTAAAAAAATTCTTGGAAATCCTGTGTTGATTCACTAATAGTCTAAAAGTTATATAATAAATACCAGTTCAACAACCTGAATCCAAAAGTGTGATTCTTTGGATCAAAGTTCAGAGTTATCTAGAGCCCTTTCCAAAAGCATTCAGCAAAAAGCAGACACCCTTCGAAAGTAAAACTAATTTATTATAGTAAATAATAATATCACAATGAGGGAAAGCAAATTCTTTAGAGGCATTCTGTGCATAGCTTTTTCTTAAAGAGCTTGATCACGTTGTATGTGTGTGTGTGTAAGAAGGCATTATGGACACATTATGGACAGTGAAATAAACTGACAAATCTCATAGTACCTTCACATAAAGGGTTCAATTTATGTAATGTTTATATTAATAATATTTTTTTTGCAAATTTATCCTATAGGACTGAGTATCTCATCCAACTTGATGATTCCTTGCATGTAGCTCTTACCATACTGATGTGCTAATTAAGAAATATATTTCCTTAAGTTCTCTTATCAGCATTTTTTAATTTAGAATTCGATTTTGGAAAGAAAAAGTTTCCAAGTTGTGACTGGTCACTTGACTAAATAGGAATATAGATACCTATGAGCAATATTTTGCACTTAATGAGTGATAATAAAATATTTTAAAAGGCATGTAAAAGAAGATAACATGATTGCAAAGCTAACACAAAACAGAAAAATAATCTGGTGGATCATTGAATTACTGAAAACTGAACACACTATAACAGAAAATAGGCATCAATCTTCACCACTGTTAAGAGCAAAATCTAGAGGCGTGACATCACAAAATGATGACAAAGGTCACTCTAATTTCATGTCCCCTCACCAGAAGAACAACACATATTCATGGAGAAGACACCACTGAAGCACTCTCTGAACACCCAGGCAGAATGCACTAACAAAGTACAAGGAACAGCGACATGCTGACCATGACCCTTCTCCCCAAGCCAGGACACACTATGCTAAGATGTATACTCTGGATCAGAGGTTCCTCCAGTGGGAATAAAAGAGTTGTGGATGCTTTTTGAGGGTCTCCACTCCAGTCTCAACTCCCTGGATCACCGGAAGATCTATGAGATTTAACTACTGGAAATCTGATAGTACTTAAGAATAGACCTGCAACACACAATACTAATGATAAAGGACTGATCACAAAGATATACAAAGAGCTGACAAAACTCAACAAATATAAAGTGAACAACCCCATCAAAAAATGGACAGAAGAGCTAAAAAGATACTTCTCCAAAGAGAAAATGCAGACAACCAACAGGAATATGAAAAAAAAAATGTACAGCATCACTTGTAATAAGGGAAATGCAAATCAAAACCAAATGAGATACCATCTCACTCCAGTGAGAATGGTACATATTAAAAAAAATAGCAATAACAAATGTTGATGAGGTTGTGGAGAAAAAAGAACTTTCCTACACTGCTGGTGGGAATACAACCTGGTCCAGCCACTAAGGAAAGCTGTGTGGAGGTTTCTCAAACTGCTAAAAACGGAACTTCCATATGATCCAGCAGTTCCACTCCTAGGAATCTACCCAAAAGACACAAAAACATTAATTCAATAGGATACCTGCACCCCCATGTTTACTGCTGCTCTATTTACAATAGCGAAGATGTAGAATCAACCCAAATGCCCCAAAATAGATGACTGGATCAAGAAGATGTGTTTTACATATATACAGTGAAATATTACTTATTAAACAAAAAGGTCAAACTCATGTCTTTTGCAACCACATGGACAGAACTGGAAGGGATCATGCTTAGTGAAGTAAGCCAGAAAGAAAAAGAAAAATATTGGATGGTTTCACTCATAGCAGGAGCATAAAAGATCAGGGCAGGGGGAGAAAATATCTATGTGTGTGTATAGGGATTGTAATAAAGTAAAAGTGAACATCACTTAACAACTATAAACCAGAGACACTCTACAGGGGAAGTGAGGGGAACAGAATCAAAGCTGGGATGGGAAGAGCACATGGGACTATATACATGGGTGAAGTAATAGTGGGAAGTCCACGGGGATTACAACTGAGATGAAAAATGTACAAAATAAAGAATGATAATATATATATCTAGATATATAGATATATAGATATATATAATAAAAAAGAATAGACTTAGAGCAACCAAGTCTTTGATCCTGGCAAACCACATCCCTACCTGCAGTGCCCAAGTAATCCTAGCCAGTGACTTTATTAATCGCAATGCCAAGGTGGTAGCATTATCTGACAGGTACAGTTTTGCCTGAGCTGGGCACTCAAATAAGGAGTCTTGCCAACCCTGAAGCCAGGTCCAAGCCCTTATCCCTCCCCCACATAGCTACCCAGTCAGAGTTGTTGAACACCTGAGAAGTTCTGTAACCCAGCAATACTCAGGCAGAATCCAGAGGCACAGATTATTATACTCAGAGCAAAACCAGTGGACAAGTTCAGCAAGAGAGCTGAATCATGGACTAGCCGAATCAAGACCAAAACCAAACGCCTTGCCAGCCTAAGGATGCTTCTCCTATTAACTCATATCTCCACCCATTGTTGAATACAGCCTACAGACTGCCCAATCAGGGAAGCTAACCAAAATACACAGGGGTCAGCATAATCCATTAAACACCCCTGCTTACAGTGACTCTTAACTAGGGAGAACAGAGAAGAATCAATGGGTTTATATAGTCAGGAAATTCAGTGAGTCTTTTCTGATTTATGTTCCCCAAAAAATAAGTGTGTGTATTTGGAGGCATGTTATGCTGCCCTAATAAGGTAGGTGAGTAAGCTAATTCATGGCCCAACTACAACTGTACCCGCACTCAGTCCTGACCATATAGGAAGCCTGATCGGAATCCAGGAACCCTTGGAGGCTGCCCTGAACCCTTAGGTGGGCAGGAAACCAAGCCACACTATCCCACTATTCTTAGCCAGCAGCCACCCCTCACCGCCCGCGCCCCCCCCAACCTCAGAGCTCAGAGCTTGATAGTGAGCCCCGCCTATGCAAGGACATTATGGGCTGACACACCTTTGAGTGGAAGTAAAAGGAAGATAATTAACATAAAAACAATAAGATAGCAACAAATTAACCAGTAATGATAAATATGTAGCCAATGGGACAACTGCTATCTTACATTTTTTTAGAAACCCACTGGCATATTGCACTGAGTCTATAGTTGGAGCCCAGAATAACCCCAAGCATATATGGATATATGGTCAATGAATATTTAACACTCAATGGAAAAAGACAGTCTCTTCAATAGTTGAAAAAGTTGTATATTAACATTTTAGAGAATGAAAATAGATCCTTAGCTGACACCATTCATAAAAATTAACTCAAAATGGATTAAAGTCTTAAATATAAAACATAAAACCATGAAACTCTGAGTAGAAAACGGGAAATGTTTTTTGACTCATGTCTTAGCAATGGTTTTTTGTATAAGACACCTGAAGCATAAGCAAGAAAAGCAAAAATAAACAGGAGTTACTACCAAGGACAGCAAAACAAACCATCAATAATATAAAAAGGTGATCTATGAAATGGAAAAACTTATCTATACACCATATATTTATGAGGGATTATATTCTACTACATAAAGAACTCATACAACTTAGCAGCAAAAGGGGAAAGAATACAAATAATCAACTTTGAAAATGGGCAAAGACTTATATAGACATTTTTCCAAGGAAGGTATGTGAAAGGCCATCAGATACCCGAAAAGATACTCAACATCACTCGGCATTAGGGAAATGCAAATCTAAACCACAATGATCTATCATATCACCTCCGTTAGAATGGTCATCACTCAAAAGACAAGAGGTAGCATGCTTCTGAGTATGTGCAAAAAGGAAACACTTATGCTCTATTGATGGATTCATACACTGACACAGGCACTATGAAAAGCAGTATGGAGGATCCACAAAAAAATTAAAAATAAAATTACTACAGAGTCCAGCAATTCCACCTCATAGGATATATCCAAAGGAAATGAAAACAGTAACTCAAAAAGAGAGACATACCCCATGTTCATAGCAGCATTATTTACAATAGCCAACATATGGAAACAAGCATTCATTGACAGATAAAAGAATAAAGTTGTGGTGTGGTATATATATAAAAAATGGATTTTTTTCTGCCATAAGACATGAGGAAATCCTGCATCTGCAACAACATGCATGAACCTTGAGGGTATTACGTTAAGTCTGTCTGAAATAAACCAGAAAGACAAACACTGTAGGATCTCACTTACATGTGGAATCTAAAATAAAACAAAGTAAACCTCATAGAAAAGTATCAGATGTGTGGTTACTAGGTGATGAGGCTGGGGGGAGAAGGACTGGAGGAAGGGGTTCAATAGTTGTTCCAGTTACAAAATAAAAAAATGCTAGGGATGAATTTCAATGATGACTATAGCTCTATAGTTAACATGAGTGAATGGTATATGAAAATTTTTAAGTGAGTAGAGCTTAAGAGTTCTTATCACAATTTTTTTCTATTCCTTCATTTCTCTTTTTATTGTATCTGCATGAGATGATGAATGCTAACTAATTTTTTTGCAGTAATCATTTCACAGTATATATAAGTCAGACTATTGTTCTGTACACTTGAAACTTTATGCACTCTGTCAATTCTATCGCAGTAGAACGAAGGTGAGGAAAAAGAGGTTAGCCTTGAGTAATGAGGCAATCACTGAGAGCAATGACCCTCTAGGGAATCTGTGCCCAACTAGGAACTCTGTTTGGAGGACTTGGGGTGGGGCTTGCTTGCAAAGCAAGCATAAAGCCTGATTAATTTGATAGGTGTGCAAGGAATTGGGCACAATACAATTCCTGAGATTTGTTTCTTACTATGGCAAAAGACAGAGTTCCTCATTCATGTTTTATATTGCTGTTCCTTGTCTTGTGTTCTACCAATGCCTCAGACTCTGCAGAACCGTAAGTCTCAACGTTCCTTCCTTTAGAAGTTTATTCTTTTTTCCCCATCTCTTCCTTATAAATGCTTTGCCTTTTCTTTTTTTATATTTTATTATATATATATTTATTTACATCATTCTTCATTTTGTACATTTTTTTATCTTGGTTGTAATCTCCATGGACCTTTTCTACTAAATGCTAGCCTTCAATTTCTGAACATACCTTCTAATCATAAGAGATTAATCACAGTGGTCAATAGCTTTTTTATTTCATTTATCTTGAACTTTGAGATAAAAATTTTCCAGTGGGCCAATGATAATTATAAATAAGGAAGTAGCCACAGGAGGCATGATTTGATTAGACAATGAAACTTGACCCGACCTTCACAGAATCATCTTTTAGAAGGAAGGCTTTGACTATAAAATGAGATATATCAGGGGCATAATAGAATTCATATTTTAGACCATGTATGCAGTGCCTTGACTTTTGACAACTTATTGACTCTTCATCAAGACCTCCCAATAACTGATCAACTTGGAGGAAGGAAGAGGAAGTAATTCTAAACTTATTCAGTTGTAAAGTTGCTTAAATCTAATATGTTTAAGACTTCTCTTATATCCTACATTATTCCTCTCCAGGCCCAAGTAGCAGAAATCAGAAATCTGATTTCTGACAACTCACTCAACTATCTTCTTCAACTTCTGCAGTGCTCAATATCCCACTATCTATTAGGGGTGCATTCTCTCCTGTCAACTCTACTTCATCTACAACTGTAGAAGTATCACCTCCCACTGCTTTTACCCAGAGACATTTGGAACTACACAGGCGCTGTTCAGTTTTCTGAATAGATTAAAGAGATTAAGCAAGCTTTTAATGGGTCAGAAATATTAAGCAGTCGTTTTTTCATTCTTATGCAACACAGGTCTCATACAACATGCTGCTAATTGAAAACCATTATTTTATATCATGTCCATCTTTTTAAAAAGAGTAAGCCTCAGGTCCTCCCTGGTGGGACAGTGGATTAAAGCACAGCACCATGAAATTATCAGTAACCACTGCAGCACAAGTCTGATCCCTGGCCTGGGGGGTGACCCACATGGTGCGACAGATCTCTCCACCTGTCTGCTGCTACATCAGCAGTGAATTTCAGTGGTCCACCTGCTCTGTTCCTTACTCTGTCTCTGGTGAATCCTCTCACCAACTCCTGTCTGTGCCCAAGTTCTTGTATGCATAAAAAAAAAAATCTTTAAAAAAAAAAAAAAAGAGCAAGCCTCAAGGTTAGCTGTCATAAATAGATGAGGCATCTTCTCACTATGTAGAGACATTACCTTATCCTTTCATCACCAATTACGATCAAGGAGAGCTGACTTCCATGGAACCCAGTCACCATCCTCCCTACCTTGGGCAGTAAACTTCGGAGAGATGGAGGCTGCAGGGGATCATAAAAACAAGAAGAAATTAAAAGTTGTCAGTTTAAAATTTACAAAATTTAGTCACTCCCACAAAGACAAATATTTTAAATGCAAACATCTATGATTGAGTAATATATTAGCATTGCAGTTGTTCACTACAAATCACTCAACAATATTAAATAAATACTAGTCAAACCCTTATGAAATACATCAAATTCATGAGTTACTTTTTAATTGTGGTATCAATTAGGCTTGTAACTTTTAAGAATAAAACTAGCATAGTAGTTAAATTATTGTATATTGTTGCACTCTTTCATATTAAGATCAAGGAACTAGAGAGGGAAAGTATAAATGAGGAGGTATAAAAAATATTAAAATTTTTGTCATTTATCACATCTTTGAAAAAAACAGTTATTCAGGAGGTCAGTAACACCCAGATGCTAGAAAGGGATTAGATAAGAGGCACTGTCTAAATGACCATGGGTAGGTTACTTCACTGCTCTGTCTTAGAATAAAATCATTACATCCATGAAGCAAAAAAAAACTGAGATTCTCATTTAATAATGTCTCTAATGACTCATGGCATACAATTTTGTCAAGAAGCAATAAAACTCATACAGCAAGATTGATGGGCTGTGCAGATTGTGTGGAGAAAGAGAAAAACTAAACCGGATTTCCAGATGCCTTTCTAGCTGTCAACTTATAGTCTCACACCTATTAACTGTGTAAAGCATAAAATTATTTTTTATTGAATTGCCTTTTGTAAGACACAAAAACACTGATTCAAAAAGATGCACCCCCATGTTTATTGCTGCTTTATTTACAATTGGAAAAATATGGAAGCAGCCCAAATGCCCAAAAGTAGATGACTGGATTAAAAAGATATGGTACATATACACAATATTACTGGAATTGCTGGAGTATTACTCAGCAACCAAAAAAAAAAGCAACAGGGATGGAGCTGGAAAAGATCATGCTTAGTGAGATAAGCCCGAAAGAAAAAGAAAAATACCAGATGGTTTTGCTCATAGCAGGAGTATAATAGATCAGGTGAGAAAATAATAAGAATAATGAACAGCCATATACCAGAGACATTTTGTAGGGGTGGAGTGGGGAATAGGATCAAAAACGGTGGGGGGAGGGAAATGCACGGGACTATGGTGATGGCACATGGGTGACTTGGTGATGGGAAACACACGGGGATTACAATTGAGATTAAAAAAATGTACAAAATGATGTAAAAATAAACTATTATCAAAAAATTGCCTTTTGTAAAAAATACTGAAGAGTTCTTGGGGGTGCTGAAAGGAAAGGGTATCAAAACAACAAAAGAAACTAATATCTTTTTTTTTCACTATTTACCCATTTATTTAGGGTACAATGGTATATACCATGGCATCAACATCCAGTATACTACTATAAACTTTGACAACTATATATATGACATTCTGATCACTCATGAAAGTCTATTTTCTGTCCATTACCATAGAATTAACCCCCATTACCCATTTTACCCACTCCACTCCCTTGTCCTCTGCTAATATTTTGTTGTCAGTATCTAAAAGCTAATTTTTGTCTTGCTTTGTTTTGTTTGTTCACTTGCTTTGATTCTTTATCTTACATATGTGAGTAAAATCAATTATTTGTTTCTCTTCATCTGATTTATTCTACTTAACTTAAATCCCTGTAAGTCCATCCAGGTTGCTACAAACGGCAAGATTTATATAGATATAGATAAAGATATATAGAGAGAGAAAGAGGGAGGGAGAGAAAGAGAGACACCTAGGAATTCCATTGTGAATATATACATATTCACTCATTTATCAGAAGAGAGAAACGTGATCAGAAGAATAGAGAAAGGATGTGGACTATATGGGAAAAGGATAGAAAATAGACATTCAGTGGTGATTATAAGGTAGTATGCACAAGCATTTTGAACTATAAAATTATGCTCTTGAAACTTTAAAAATATAACGAACAAAATAAATCAACAAACTCTTACATCATGAGAACAAAATTGTGGCCACCAGAGGGGAAGGATGCAGAGTGGGCAGAGTTGTTCAACTGTATGGTGGAGGATGAAAACTAGACTTCTGCTGGGGATCATAATGTATTACATCTGGATGTCAAAATGTGATGCTGTGTTATAGTGTTATAATGTGCATCATGTTATAAATCAGAGTTACGTCAATGTATAACTTCATACAATAAATAGATGGTCACTGACATGCTTTCAGTTGATTTTATGTAAATCTAGTCATGGTGTTAATGCAGAAATGATGTTTACTTACACATATTTTAATGAAAGTTTTTTCAAAAAATGAATAATCACCTGCAATTTATTATATACATATACTATCTTGGGTTTTTATTCAGGAATGCAGAAGATTAAAGCTCTTAAAACAGAGAATACCTATAAAATTGTAACATCTTTGGAGCCAACTTCAGTAGCTTGTGCGGCTGAGACACTACTGATGAGTAACAGATATAATGCTGATGTGAATTAGTGATAGAACCTCCTTCCTGTTCTTAGAAACAAATATTCCAACAACAACAACAAAAAAAACATGGATAACTTATTTATGGTTCAAAATACATACGCCATTTTTCTCTGAGTTCGCTTTTCGCCTTCCCAGGCAGTACATGGTGCTGGTCCCTTCCTTGCTCCACACTGCGGCCCCGGAGCAAGGCTGCCTCCTTCTGAGCTTCCTGAATGAGACAGTGACTGTGAGCGCTTCACTGGAGTCTGCCACGGGAAACCAAAGTCTCGTGACTGACCTCGTGGTGGATAAGGACTTATTCCATTGTGTGTCTTTCATTGTGAGTATCAGCTGACTGTCCTCTTTGATATATTATGTTGAGTCATGGTGATGGAGAACCAATGTTGAGTTCTAAAGAATTATTTCTGTGAGGACGTCAGGAAGGGTAGAAGTGAATGAGTTTTCACATACTAAGATGCAAAAACATGGAATTTCCACCAAAATAGGAGGGCAATATCTTTCCACATATCAAACTTTAACTTAAGTCCCCCCAAAATTCTATTGATCACATACATAGTATGATTTAGTCAGAAAAGTTTACTAACTTTGATATGCAATAGTTTCTTTAAGGTCAAAGTTGAGCATATATTATACAAAAATCTCATGCTATGACAGCATGTAGCAAAATTTTTCTTTTATGGTGGGATGTTAGGTTTCTTTATCCTCTAAAGGTGTTAATGATACAAGATACTCCAGGCAAATACCTAGTACCTTTTTTTTTAAAGATTTATTTATTTATTCATATAGAGCTGGGGTACAGGCCAGAGATGCGGGGGGTTAGAGGATTCACCAGAGACAGAGTGGGGAGCAGAACAGGCAGATCAACAAAGTACACTGCTGAGGGGAGCAGCAGGTGGGTCAGGAGAGGTCTGCCACACCATGTGGTCATCTCCGGGGCAGGCGGGAATCGAACTCATGTGGAAATGGCTTAAGCTTCTTAGTGCAGTGCTTTAACCCACTGCGCCACCAGGGAGGGCCCCTAGTACCTTTTTATAGCTTCCCAACTTGGGATACTCAGTTCTTATATTCTTTCATATTATTTTCTTTTCAATACTTTTGTGGAGTCCTTTGGTGGTTTTTTGCATACAAGAATTAGGGTATAGGCCAGAGATGTAGGAAAATCAGAGGATTCATCAGAGACAGGTGGAGAGCAGAAAAGGTGAATTTACTGAGATACACTGCTGAGGGGAGAATAGAGTGAGATGGACAGGTCTGCTGTGCCTGTGGGTCAGTTCCCTGGCCAGGGGTCAAACTCAGGCCATAGCAGTGATAGCATTGAGACTTAACCTCTAAGCCACCAGCAAGGCCCTCTCCATATTTTTTCAATGATGCTTCTCTCCATCCTTTCAGAATACACATATACTGTTTTAAATGAGTATGATGTACGAACCAAAGTTCTGGGCAGGTGATATGGAGATTTAGAGTCCATAAATACCTTCTCTTACTGATATATTTCCCCTATATATTATTATCTCCACTGATATCTGATGAAATACCCACATTAACCTCTTAATGAAATTGAGAGGGAGGTTGGGGGGAAAGTGATGAATAAAGAACTCAGAGGAAGAAAAACATGTATTTTTTTTCTTTAGGTCCCACGTATCTCATCCTCTTCAGAGGTGGCATTCCTCACTGTCCAGATAAAGGGACCAACACAAGACTTCCAGAAGAGGAAGACAGTTCTGGTAAAGAATGCTCAAAGTCTGGTCTTTGTCCAGACAGACAAACCCATCTATAAACCAGGACAAACAGGTATTAGAGAAATTCTACTGTGTGGGGTAGCCCTGAGGAGAGGCCAGGTTGCCCAGCAAGAGTCACCATTATCCGAATCTCTTAGCCTCCTGTCTTATTACACAGATTATCTTCTTCATCATACCTAATCTTATCAGAGAATTTCTGTTGTAGTGAAATTCCGTATTGTCTCCGTGGATGAAAATTTTCACCCCCTAAATGAACTGGTAAGTACCTCAGTAACTATGGTTTAGGTGGAGGGTTGGATAATGAAGTGGAGTAGAGTGGGAGGAAGTGAGGAAGGTCAAGAAAAGCAAGACAATGAAAGGTTCCTCTAGGAATCTGCCTCACTAGAGATCTAGACTCTTCTGAGAGGTAAGAAATGAGAAAGCACTTTCTCTTTTTTTGCAGTTTATTCACTTGTCAAAGTCAGAATTTTTTTCATAGAAAAAGGAAGACTAATCTAAAATTAGTAATTTATTTAAAAACAAGGAATGTAGTTTAAGCCTTAGAATATAGAATGGTAGCTCATGATAAATAAGTATTAGTTGATCAAAATTTTCTTTATAACACTTGTAATCTTGCTCATTTTTAAATTCTAAATTTTTTTAATTTAATTTTTTTTTACTTTCTTTTTTAAGAATTTGGTAATAATTAGTTTATTACTCTAAAGAGACATAATTAAAAAGTCAAGTACTACCCATATTCATACTCTCAATAATTTATGAAAAGTAAAATGCCAACAACTTTCACTGCTTCTGAATACTTATGTATCTATAAAAAACTATTTTGTAATATGATAATATATACACACACATATATCTAATAACGCATATAAGTAGTCATATCTTTAAGTATATAATAGAATATATTACATAAAGAAAATTTTTGCTAATTGGACACTGGGCATCCCTCCCTCCAATTAGTTTTCAATAGTAGGAAAAGAAACAAAAGATATTTTTAAATGACAGCTTTGAAATTAGAAGAAATATTCTTGGTTAACTTTTAACAATAATTCTATAAATTCTCTTATTGGCTCTAAATCACAATATATAATTCTATTAGTATCCACTTTCTAATTTTGTGTAATAAACAGTTCAATCAAATACTTCATTGGGGGATTTAAATAGCTAAATATTATTAGTGACTGCTAGTATTTTAATAAATATTAATCTATATACAATATTCACCAATATTTTTCAGAAAAATGGCAACATGATAGTTGTAGAAATATATACATATATTGTTTTTTTTATATCTTACTAAAGATATGATTTTTCTCAGTGAGTTACAACCTTTAACAAAATTCTAATCACATCTCTTCTTTCCATTTTTAAATATAGATTCCACTGGTATACCTTGAGGTAAGCATCAGAAAGTGTATCAGTACATTTAAAGATTAGTAAGTCCCAATAATAGCCTAGACAGATAAGTTACTATGAATGATTTTCAAGTCTAAAATGATTCTATTCCCAGGTATCAGGTTTATTGTTTTATTTTCCTATCATGTTTGTCATTCTGGATACAATGTCAGTTACTATCCCCAAAGTAATCTGTTTTGTTCTGGACAATATGACTAATGATTCTCCATGTTCCATGCTCTAGGACCCCAAAAAAAATCGAATTGGACAGTGGCACAGCCTCCAGCTGGAGAATGGCCTCCAGCAGCTGGCCTTTCCCCTCTCATCCGAGCCCACCCAGGGCTCCTACAGTGTGGTGGTGCAGAAGGAATCGGGCAAAAGGATAGTGTACCCCTTCACCGTGGAGGAATTTGGTATGGCTGTGAAATA